GTGGACAGATTAAGATTGTAGTGATTGGGGAAACATCCTCTTCGGAGTCTGTTCCATAGGGCAGTGGTTTCCAGGAAGAAGCTGTTCGAATGGAACTTACTTCTCACCAATGGGTAGTTTATATGGATAGGAGAGGAAAGATAACGTTTAACCCTGTACGTGGACAGATTAAGATTGTAGTGATTGGGGAGACATCCTCTTGGGAGTCTGTTCCATAGGGCAGTGGTTTCCAGGAAGAAGCTGTTCGAATGGAACTTACTTCTCACCAATGGGTAGTTTATATGGATAGGAGAGGAAAGATAACGTTTAACCCTGGACGTGGACAGATTAAGATTGTAGTGATTGGGGAAACATCCTCTTCGGAGTCTGTTCCATAGGGCAGTGGTTTCCAGGAAGAAGCTGTTCGAATGGAACTTACTACTCACCAATGGGTAGTTTATATGGATAGGAGAGGAAAGATAACGTTTAACCCTGGACGTGGACAGATTAAGATTGTAGTGATTGGGGAAACATCCTCTTCGGAGTCTGTTCCATAGGGCAGTGGTTTCCAGGAAGAAGATGTTCGAATGGAACTTACTACTCGGCAATGGGTAGTTTATATGGATAGGGGAGGAAAGTTAACGTTTAACCCTGGACGTGGACAGATTAAGATTGTAGTGATTGGGGAAACATCCTCTTGGGAGTCTGTTCCATAGGGCAGTGGTTTCCAGGAAGAAGCTGTTCGAATGGAACTTACTTCTCACCAATGGGTAGTTTATATGGATAGGAGAGGAAAGATAACGTTTAACCCTGTACGTGGACAGATTAAGATTGTAGTGATTGGGGAAACATCCTCTTCGGAGTCTGTTCCATAGGGCAGTGGTTTCCAGGAAGAAGCTGTTCGAATGGAACTTACTTCTCACCAATGGGTAGTTTATATGGATAGGAGAGGAAAGATAACGTTTAACCCCGGACGTGGACAGATTAAGATTGTAGTGATTGGGGAAACATCCCTTCGGAGTCTGTTCCATAGGGCAGTGGTTTCAGGAAGAAGCTGTTCGAATGGAACTTACTACTCACCAATGGGTAGTTTATATGGATAGAGAGGAAAGATAACGTTTCAATGGGTAGTTTATATGGATGGGAGAGGAAGATAAACCCTGGACGTGGACAGATTAAGATTGTAGTGATTGGGGAAACATCCCCTTCGGAGTCTGTTCCATAGGGCAGTGGTTTCCAGGAAGAAGCTGTTCGAATGGAACTTACTACTCACCAATGGGTAGTTTATATGGATAGGAGAGGAAAGATAACGTTTAACCCTGGACGTGGACAGATTAAGATTGTAGTGATTGGGGAAACATCCTCTTCGGAGTCTGTTCCATAGGGCAGTGGTTTCCAGGAAGAAGCTGTTCGAATGGAACTTACTTCTCACCAATGGGTAGTTTATATGGATAGGAGAGGAAAGATAACGTTTAACCCTGGACGTGGACAGATTAAGATTGTAGTGATTGGGGAAACATCCCCTTCGGAGTCTGTTCCATAGGGCAGTGGTTTCCAGGAAGAATCTGTTCGAATGGAACTTACTTCTCACCAATGGGTAGTTTATATGGATAGGAGAGGAAAGATAACGTTTAACCCTGGACGTGGACAGATTAAGATTGTAGTGATTGGGGAAACATCCTTCGGAGTCTGTTCCATAGGGCAGTGGTTTCCAGGAAGAAGCTGTTCGAATGGAACTTACTTCTCACCAATGGGTAGTTTATATGGATAGGAGAGGAAAGATAACGTTTTAACCCTGGACGTGGACAGATTAAGATTGTAGTGATTGGGGAAAACATCTTTCGAGAGTCTGTTCCATAGGGCAGTGGTTTCAGGAAGAAGCTGTTCGAATGGAACTTACTTCTCACCAATGGGTAGTTTATATGGATAGGAGAGGAAAGATAACTTTTAACCCTGGACGTGGACAGATTAAGATTGTAGTGATTGGGGAAAACATCCAGACGAGTAAGAATAGGGCAGTGGTTTCCAGGAAAAGAAGCAGTATTTGTTCGAATGGAACTTACTTCTCACCAATGGGTGTTTATATGGATAGGAGAGGAAAGATAACGTTTAACCCTGGACGTGGACAGATTAAGAATGTAGTGATTGGGGAAACATCCTTTTGAGAGTCTGTTCTACAGGGCAGTGGTTTGGGAAGAAGCTGTTCGAATGGAACTTACTTCACCAATGGGTAGTTTAGTTTATGGATGAGAGAGGAAAGATAACGTTTAACCCTGGACGTGGACAGATTAAGATTGTAGTGATTCTAAACATCCTCTAAGAATGAATCTGTTCCAGATGGGCAGTGGTTTCTAGGAAGAAGCTGTTCGAATGGAACTTACTTCTCACCAATGGGTAGTTTATATGGAGAGGAAAGATAACGTTTAACCCTGGACGAGGACAGATTAAGAATGTAGTGATTGAAACATCCCTTTGAGAGTCTGTTCCATAGGGCAGTGGTTTCAGGAAGAAACTGTAAGAATGGAACTTACTACAGATCACCAATGGGAAGTTTATATGGATAGGAGAGGAAAGGTGCGTTTTACCCTAGAATGACAGATTAAGAATGTAGTGATTGGGGAAACATCCTTTTGAGAGTCTGTTCCACAGGGCAGTGGTTTCCAGGAAGAAGCTGTTCGAATTGAACTTACTACTCACCAATGGGTAGTTTATATGGATAGGAGAGGAAAGATAACGTTTACCCTAGACCTGGACAGATTAAGAATGTAGTGATTGGGGAAACATCCTCTTCGGAGTCTGTTCCATAGGGCAGTGGTTTCCAGGAAGAAGCTGTTCGAATGGAACTTACTACTCACCAATGGGTAGTTTATATGGATAGGAGAGGAAAGATAACGTTTAACCCTGGACGTGGACAGATTAAGATTTTAGTGATTGGGGAAACATCCTCTTGGGAGTCTTTTCCAAAGGGCAGTGGTTTCCAGGAAGAAGCTGTTCGAATGAAACTTACTTCTCACCAATCGGTAGATTTTATATGGATAGTAGAGGTGAAGATAACGTTTAACCCTGGACGTGGACAGATTAAGATTTTAGTGATCGGGAAACATCCTCTTGGGAGTCTGTTCCACAGGGCAGTGGTTTCGTGGGAAGAAGCTGTTCGAATGGAACTTACTTCTCACCAATCGGTAGTTTATATGGATAGGAGAGGAAACATAACGTTTAACCCTGGACGTGGACAGATTAAGATTGTAGTGATTGGGGAAATATCCTCATGAAGGCGGTTCCAAGGGGAAATTTTTCACGGGAAGATGTTGTTTGATTGGAACTTATTTCTCTGGAATACGGAGGATATGTGTGTGGTTTCCTGCAATGTGAATGACATGGCTGGTCTTAGCCGAGAGGGTTTGACCTGGTGAAATCGTGGAATCAAGTTGATTCTAGCACTTTCCATGGAAACATAAAACATAAAACAGTGAATGACTCGCCACATTCCGCCTGTTAGAGAAGAAGTTGGAAGGCGGAAAAGTATTTCTTCTTTATCACCGCATCGGAAACACTTTTAAAATACGAAAAGAAGTTCAATTATTGGAACAATGTTGAATATGCTCCGATAAAACACTCTTCTGCCTAATTAGATGTGGTTGTTAGTCTAGTTGCGAAAATGGTAACGTTTTCTAGTTTTAGAACAAATACTATTTTCATTCAAATGACATTTATCGACATGTCTGAAAAGATTATCTCATCATAGCGTGCCGCATACTTAAGCAATTTCCCTTGGACTCTAAGTGTCATCACTTTCCGGATCACTCTTGACGTTCTTAAGAAGTCTAGTTCCTGCAAAAATCCCACGGGACAATCAATTTCTTTATCCGTTTGCTTAATTATTTCACCCCAAGCAAAGCAATAAAGCCACTAGGATGCAAGGGTTACTGAGTGTTAGAGAATATGAGAAAAACTACTATTAATGAGAGAGGACAATAAAAGAACTGGAATTAAGAAGACAGAAGATAACGATTTACATTGCATTTAAATTTTTGAAGATGAAAGGAAATAGCAATTTCCTGGATAGGCTGCATTGAGTATTATTATTCTTAATATTATTATTATTATTATTATTGTTGTTGTTGTTGCATCTAAACGTCGGCGATATAATCCCAGGTTTTTATATTCTCTTCGAGTTTTAAATGTTTCGTCCGAGTGATGGTGGTGATCGCAAATCCCACCCTCAAGCAGACACGTTTTCCTGTGCACTCCCAGTGGTATCAAATATTCCAAAGATGTCTTGCAGAAAAATTTCAGTCCCGAATTTTCCAGCTACAAAAAGGACAACTTGACCTGCTACTTGGCATATTTCTCTGTCAGACTTGCAATGCCGTGTCTTGCTGCCACTATATTTTCGTCTTTATCGCCTTCTTAATGTTTCATTTCAAGATGCCGCAACGCTTATCAGGATTCATTCCTGAATGTTCTTTTCAATTTCTACATATTCTTTGAATTTTGCTTAAAACTCGAAGTTTGAACCTTGGTCCTCACTTCAATTTCAATAGATACCCCTGGGTGATGAATATTGAAAGATCTTACGAGGAATTCTTGTAAGACACGCCCATTTTGACATGTTTAGGTATACATATATGTTGAATGATACGTTATCCATAACTTTGATATAGATAAAATATATATGCATAGGTATATATTAGTGAAATATACACAAACATATAATAGGTATACACATATATGCAGACAACTATATATATATATATATATATATATATATATATATATATATATATATATATGTGTGTGTGTGTGTGTGTGTGTGTGTGTGTGTGTTTGTGTGTGTGCATGTATGTATATATAAGCGTTATTTTTAGTGGATCGCCGTATTTCTGTTATTTATTGAATAGTATATGTGCCCGCTGGCAAGTCTTTCTTGAATAAGATTTCTCGAATATTCAGGCCGAGTGATCAAAATAAATACACAAATATAACGTTTATTAACTAAAACAAAGCGTCTACTTAAATACGGTGTTTTAACTGATATAGATAGATAGATATAAACGGACTGATAGATAGATAGATAGATAGATAGATAGATAGATAGATAGATAGATAGATAGATAGATAGATAGATAGATAGACAGAAGGGGATAGATAGATAGCTAGATAGATAGATAGAATGGGATAGATAGATAGATAGATAGATAGATAGATAGATAGATAGATAGATAGATATGAACAGACTGATAGATAGATGGACAGAAGGGGATAGATAGATGGATAGATAGATAATAGACAGAAGGAGATAGATAGATAGATATGAACAGACTGATAGATAGATGGACAGAAGGGGATAGATAGATGGATAGATAGATAATAGACAGAAGGAGATAGATAGATAGATATGAACAGACTGATAGATAGATGGACAGAAGGGGATAGATAGATGGATAGATAGATAATAGACAGAAGGAGATAGATAGATAGATTTGAACAGACTTATAGATAGATGGACAGAAGGGGATAGATAGATGGATAGATAGATAATAGACAGAAGGAGATAGATAGATAGATAGATAGATAGATAGATAGATAGATATGAACGGATAGATAGATAGATATAAACGAACTGATAGATAGATAGATATGAACGGACTGATAGATAGATAGATAAATAAATAAACATGGACTCTTCCAGGACTATATAAAATATGCGACATAACACTCTAGGAGAGAAGAAGAAGAGGAGGAGAGAGAGTATTCTAATACCGTAGTATCAGCCGCGTACGACTACCAATACTGGACACTAGTACATAGTAAGCTCCACTTACACTTACACTATCTTTGTAACCTTTTTGTTTAATATATCTTTCTTACCTCTCATTCGTGTTCCGTGTTTTCCTTCCGTGGTCCCAACTTTGGGTCCACATCAGTAATAGACAGAAGGAGATAGATAGATAGATAGATAGATAGATAGATAGATATGAACCCTCTGATATTGGCTGTACGAACAGAATATACATAACCAGGATAGATATGATTTGCTGGGAGATTGTAACTGAGTTACAAAAAACAATTGTAGAAACCCGGAATTTGTTTAACAAGTTTATTAACTTTTATTACAAGGAAACATAATGTAGAATGGAAAGTAGGGAAGATGCTGTTTAGATGTTTTTCAGCATAAGCTGCTGCTACTCCTGCTACTGCTACTCCTGCTACTGCTACTCCTGTTACTCCTCTTGATGTAGGGTCATTTTTATACTTTTCGTCCTACGGCCGAATCCAAACTTGTAGGGAAATATTCTCCCTCGCAACATACTGGTATCCACTAAAAAGTAACTTTTAAGTAACAAAAAAAAACTATCGCATTAATAATCATTTCTTCACACACTCACTGTTGTGGAGTTATTTTGCAGTGGAGGCTTGTATTTGTACTAAATCGGTCCTAAATAGTTCGACGTACAAAACGTTAGGAACTTGATATAATAGGTATTACGCAGAGTAATCTTGTATTACTTTCGTATTCGACTCACTGTCGACTACTGTCGTCCGACATCGACTGACCCTCGTTTCTCTTACTACACCTACTTATATTAGGTGGGAGAGTCTATTAACTATAGAATAGGTGTGCTTCACTATAACACTCACACACACAGACACACAAACACACAGACACACAGGCACACAGACACACACAGACACACACACATATATTATGTACATATATATATATATATATATATATATATATATATATGTATATTAAGTACCTCCACTATTTCGGCATACATTTTCTATATTGAAGTTTAAAATGAATTTTTTACAAAGAAAAAACATTCTTGAAGATTTCATTTTAGCTTTAATTGAAAGTTTAATAATTAAATTTACGATTTCTATTAATTAAACAATTCTGGTGTATTTCAGATAGAAACTATATACATTTGATTGTCAAATTTAATTTCAAATTTTTAAATTTTCTTAAAAACGGCCATTTTCTTAATTTTAAGAAATTTGTAAACAAACACAATGATTTCAAAAAAATCTTTCTTACCTATAGCATAAAAAAATAATATACAACCAATTATTAACGAGCGGTCATGTTCATCTGATCGAACTATTGATGGATTGTTCAATGACGAACCGATGACAGCTACTACTGATGACCATAAATGACATAATTTTTAAGTCTGAGTTTTTAAAAAAATTATTCTATTTGAGTATGACACACACTAATGGAAATACAATACATAAAATAAAATTATTTAGTGAAATAGTAAATGAAAAAAAGAAAAATTACTTTAAAATTTAATGTTTACACTTTTAAAGCTGAACGGAAAATACAACCTGTAAGAAACGAAATGTTTTGAAAAGGCCACGTAAAAGGACAAAACCCTTAGATCACGTGACCTTGTTATAATAATGGCAATTTCTGTATATCATACATGGAAATAGGGAATGTATTAAGTAAAAAAATACAACATAAAAATTATTTTTAAAAAAAGTAGCTCAACTAAATTTATTAAACTTAGCAATTTTGGATTCGTAATTTTTTTTTCTACTTAATTACTACATAATATTGAGGAGCCCTCCTAATACAGAGCTTTACACGATGTTAAACTATTATAAATTATTATAATTAAAATTTCTTAAAAAACGAAAAATTCTTGCAAAAATTAATTATTTATCAGATAAAAATTATTTATTCAGAAAATAATGTCCTTAATATTACTTATTTACAAAAGCAATTAAAAGCTTATCTAATTAAGCAATGTCATAGTTTTATTGGATTCATTATTTTTCAATACAGACAAGATTTTCAGTTAAATAGCTCAAATTTGAAAAAAAAAGTAGGTTATTTACCATCTCCAAAGACTCCTTCTTTTAACAAAAAATAAAATTGAGGAGCCAAAAAGGTTTTGGGCGAAATTTCATGAAATTAACTAAGTTGGGGGTAACATATTTAAAAAAAAATATTTTTTACCAAAATTTTCTAAAAGCAAAATATTTCAAAAATAATTTCATTCATTTGTGAATAAGTGCTGAAAATTTCATTAAGATCGGACCATTATTTTATTTTTACAAGAATTTCCAAATCAATATGTTTTCAACGGGAAAAAAGCGCAAAAAAAACAATGTTATTTTAAACGTCACCGCGATGACGTAAACAAAAGACGCCTTTAACCAAAATTTCGAACGTGTTAGAAAATATTAAAAAATTTAAAAAATAATTAAAAAATATTTTTCTTTCATCTTAATAATAACATAAGCATTTTGACGATAATACTTTATTTTCTTTAAGGTTGTGGCATTTTTCATTTACGCTATGCTGTTTTTCCGCGAAAACAGTGGACATGCTTAATATATATGAATGACGCAAATATATAAATCGCCAATTGCTGCTACACCCTGACGATGGGACGGAGTGATTACTGGATGGTCCGCCGACGAATCTCTGGAGTCGGGATGCTGAAGGTAGCAATAACCAGCTAATTGGCAAAATTTTTATATATATATGTATGTATGTATACGTAGATATATATATATATATATATATATATATATATATACATGCATATACATACATACATATATATATATATATACATACATATATATATATACATATATATACGTATATATATATATATATATACGTATATATATATATACATGCATACATATATATAAATACATACAGACATATATATATATGTATACACACACACACACACACACACACACATATATATATATATATATATATATATATATATATATATATATATATATATATATATATATATATATATATATAAGTTTAGAGTCTTATAAGCAGCCTATGTATGAACAGTCGAAGTACAAGAAAGCTTGACAGAACACAAACAACCCCAGGCTGGTTTGAATTTAGTTTTCTTTATCCTAGACTGGTTGCTAACCAAGGCTATAGAAACCTGTCTGTTCTGTCTTTTACCCATAGCTGGGGAGAGTGCAAAAAGATGGATTCATATCTTGAAAATCATATTATTAGTAAAAGAAACCGATCTCCGTCTGATTACTATCTTAGTAACCATTCATTTGTACTTGTTATATTAATTAACCGATATATTTTACATATCATAAGAACAACACGTCGGCCCATTCTTCTAATTTTATATATATATATATATATATATATATATATATATATATATATATATATAAATTATATATATATATATAAATATATATATATATATATATATATATGTGTGTGTGTGTGTGTGTGTTTGCGTGTGTGTGTGTGTTTGTGTGTGTGTTTGCGTGTGTGTGTGTGTGTTTGATTGTGATGTGTGTGGTGTGGTTGTGTGTGTGTGTGTTTGTGTGTGTGTGTGTTTCAAAATCTTTATTTTTATATCTTCTATATGCCCGTGCATAGTCTGCCTCGCTGTAACTTTCTCTGTCTGTTTTAAATTATATGGGGTATATATATATACAGATGAATCATTAGATGCATAATCTATAATTATGCATCTAATGATTCATCTGTATATATATACGTATATATATATATACATATATATATGTTTGTATGCATTAATATTTCCATACACATACTTTTAGATTAGTATATATATATATATATATATATATATATATATATATATATATATATATATATATATATATATATATATATATAACTATGTACATATATATTGTTGGTATAACATATATATATCATTATATAAGTATATATAGTTATATATATGTAAATATATATGTGTGTATATATATATATGTGTGTGAGTGCATACATATATGTATGTATGTATGTGTGTGTGTGAAATTTCATATGCATGTGTTTCTACGCATGCGATGTGAATAATATTCCGCCTTGCAGAAACTCATTAGTATAAGAATTCCTATTAAATCTAATTTTTGCAAACTACGGTGAATAAACTTTCGATTCAATTCCCTTGGAACATTATGAAACGAGATAACTGCAGATTCTTTTACTTTTCATTCTTTTGGAATTATTTAACGACAAATTCCTTAATTTCAAATTTTGGAAAGGTGATTTCAGAAATCAATGTTACAAAATAAACTCAATAATCCAAAACTAGAAATTATATTTGACACTGGCTTCTTTCATCCTTCTTTTGGATTTTCAATGAAGCCTTTTTATAACAATCATCTTGCGTATGACGATAAACTACATCCGGCAGCAAGGCCTCTGATCAGGAGATTGGAGGCTTTCAGGAACATGGAACCGCCTTTTAATTGCTGACTTTCCTAGTTTCACCCTCAGTCAGGGTGGTAGCACCTTTTAAATTCCCAACTATGGGTAAATCGCTAAAAGTCGATGAAAGTATATGAATGTATAAAAAATACATTTTTTTTATAGTAAAAATGTTAGCAATATATATTATATAAAAAATTACGAATATTAGGATATTTTTTATATAAATATGTATTCTATTTATATAAAAAAAGGTACCAACAGTAGATATTTTAGTAAACTTACCAACAATAGATTTTCTAGCAGAATTACAAACAATAAATTTTATCTGTAGTTGAAGGCATACAATTGTGTTCAAAACATTTAGATTTCAGCATTATATATCTATCTATTTTCATATCCAGTTCTTTCTTTCTTTCTTTCTTTCTTTCTTTCTTTCTTTCTATTTTCTTTCTTTCTTTCTTTCTTTCTTTCTTTCTATGTATGTATTTATGTGTGTATGGATGTATGTATGTATCTATCTACATGCGACAGAAAGGCCTCTGATCGGGAGATTGTAGGTTTTCTGACGGTTGGAACCACCTCATAATTGCTGTTGTTCCCAGGTCCACCCTGACCTGGGGTGGTAGCACCTGTTAGGATCCCAGATATGGGCAAATATTGAAGCCCCAAACAAAAACAAAATGATATGAAAGTATAAAATTGCATTTCATAGTAAAAATACTAGCGATACATTTTATATAAAAAATGACCAGCAAAACATTTTATCGCAAAATGACCAGCAATTTATTCTATCTGTAGTTAAATGCATACAATTGCGTTCAAAATATTTAGATTTCGGAATTAAATGACCCACATTGGTGTTGATATGTCGCTAAACAAAATAAACTGACCAAACAACAAACTCGAGAGAACCCTTTAATGACATTAACCCATTTTATATCCTACATGTTCTTAAAGAAATCAAAATGTTCTGTGGAGGGCGGAACTTTGTAATTGCTATTGTTCCCAAGTCTACCCTTACCCGGCGTGGTAGCACCTGTTAGGGTCCCAGCTATGGGCAAATTGTGAACACCCAAACAAAAACAAAACAATATGAAATTAGAAAAATACATCTTATTGTAAAAATACCAACAATATAATTTTATATAAAAAATGGCCAACATTATATTTTATAGGAAAATTCAAGTTATCTGTAATTGAAGGCTTACAATCACTGCTCAAAATATATTTAGTTGAAGCCATACATTTATGTTCAAATTATTTATGCTTCGGCATTAAATAACCCATAGCGGTGTTGATATGCCGCTAAACAAACTCAACCAACGAAACAACCAACATGAAAGAATTCATTCATGACATTAATTCATATAATATCCTAGAATTTCTTAAAGAAATCAAACTGTATTCCAAAATATAACTTCAACAAAACCACAAAAACATACACACAGATCATTGTCTGTAGACATCATGTCCACACAAACATGTAATTGCACAAAAGCTGAGTATCATCTACCAAGTATGCTATTGTGAAATCAGAATAACATATATCGTATTTTTATTATTTCAAATCCCTTCAGAAAATTGAATTTAGGCATTAAATGTTTACAGCGGTGGGAAAGGTACTGAAGTAGAAATGTTTTTTGTCATAAACGATAACATTTCAAATTCTCCTTTAGGTCTTATCAAGAATGTCTAAATATATAACATGAACAACAGACCAGATGTGGCAGAAATATTCAGAGTAAGTTTGAAAGAAAAAGTTTTTAAAAGATTTGTGACTGAGCAAATATATGAGAGTACATGAAGTGGGTTGATAACATCAAAGACGGGACAGAAATTGCGTTGGCAGATCATATTTCGAAGGCTAGCAAGAAAGCAGCTTGGGTCTTTTAGCCTTTGCCTAAGATGAATAAACTTGTCATTTCTACCTGATTCAATATTGCTGGTCTATATTATTATCTCCGGTTAGCGACCCAGAACGAGAAATTGAAGAGTTCGAATTCAAGTCGAGGTCGTTACATTTTGAGAAACGGAGTGGGTTAAATAGTAGGAGTTGTATCTGAGAAAACATTCCCCCCTCCCCACCCCCCAAAATGTTCTTCATGTAATATAAACTGGCATAAGTAAGGATTCTTACAATTCTTACAAAATATCTGTATACTTCTGAGATGAGGTATTGCAACTATTTACGCTACTTACATCAAACTGTTGCCCTCATCTTTATTGACATATTCACGGCGTTTCATCCGTTTTACGCTTCGATCTTCGTCAGGATCTGTCTCTATTTCTCAGATGGGATATTGTAACTCTTTACAGTATTTACATTGTCTGGACTGTTGTCCTCATCTTTATTGTCATATTCACATTCAACATCTGTCTCTATTTCTGAGATGAGGTATTGTAACTATTTACACTATTTACATTATTTGGACTGCTGTCCTCATCTTTATTGCCATATTCACCTTCAACATCTGTCTCTATTTCTCAGATGAGGTATTGTAACTATTTACACTATTTACATTGTTTGGACTGTTGTCCTCATCTTTATTGCTATATTCACCTTCAACATCTGCCTCTATTTCTCAGATGAGGTATTGTAAGTATTTACACTATTTACATTGTTTGGACTGTTGTCCTCATCTTTATTGCCATATTCACCTTCAACATCTGTCTCTATTTCTCAGATGAGGTATTGTAACTATTTACACTATTTACATTGTTTGGACTGTTGTCCTCATCTTTATTGCTATATTCACCTTCAACATCTGTCTCTATTTCTCAGATGAGGTATTGTAACTATTTACACTATTTACATTGTTTGGACTGTTGTCCTCATCTTTATTGTCATATTCACCTTCAACATCTGTCTCTATTTCTCAGATGAGGTATTGTAACTATTTACACTATTTACATTATTTGGACTGCTGTCCTCATCTTTATTGCCATATTCACCTTCAACATCTGTCTCTATTTCTCAGATGAGGTATTGTAACTATTTACACTATTTACATTGTTTGGACTGTTGTCCTCATCTTTATTGCTATATTCACCTTCAACATCTGTCTCTATTTCTCAGATGAGGTATTGTAACTATTTACACTATTTACATTGTCTGGACTGTTGTCCTCATCTTTATTGTCATATTCACATTCAACATCTGTCTCTATTTCTCAGATGAGGTATTGTAACTATTTACACTATTTACATTATTTGGACTGCTGTCCTCATCTTTTATTGCCATATTCACCTTCAACATCTGTCTCTATTTCTCAGATGAGGTATTGTAACTATTTACACTATTTACATTGTTTGGACTGTTGTCCTCATCTTTATTGCTATATTCACCTTCAACATCTGTCTCTATTTCTCAGATGAGGTATTGTAACTATTTACACTATTTACATTGTCTGGACTGTTGTCCTCATCTTTATTGTCATATTCACATTCAACATCTGTCTCTATTTCTCAGATGAGGTATTGTAACTATTTACACTATTTACATTATTTGGACTGCTGTCCTCATCTTTATTGCCATATTCACCTTCAACATCTGTCTCTATTTCTCAGATGAGGTATTGTAACTATTTACACTATTTACATTGTTTGGACTGTTGTCCTCATCTTTATTGCTATATTCACCTTCAACATCTGCCTCTATTTCTCAGATGAGGTATTGTAAGTATTTACACTATTTACATTGTTTGGACTGTTGTCCTCATTTTATTGCCATATTCACCTTCAACATCTGTCTCTATTTCTCAGATGAGGTATTGTAACTATTTACACTATTTACATTGTTTGGACTGTTGTCCTCATCTTTATTGCTATATTCACCTTCAACATCTGTCTCTATTTCTCAGATGAGGTATTGTAACTATTTACACTATTTACATTGTTTGGACTGTTGTCCTCATCTTTATTGCCATATTCACCTTCAACATCTGTCTCTATTTCTCAGATGAGGTATTGTAACTATTTACACTATTTACATTGTTTGGACTGTTGTCCTCATCTTTATTGCTATATTCACCTTCAACATCTGTCTCTATTTCTCAGATGAGGTATTGTAACTATTTACACTATTTACATTATTTGGACTGTTGTCCTCATCTTTATTGCCATATTCACCTTCAACATCGGTCTCTATTTCTCAGATGAGGTATTGTAACTATTTACACTATTTACATTGTTCGGACTGTTGTCCACATCTTTATTGCCATATTCACCTTCAACATCTGTCTCTATTTCTCAGATGAGGTATTGTAACTATTTACACTATTTACATTGTTTGGACTGTTGTCCTCATCTTTATTGCCATATTCACCTTCAACATCTGTCTCTATTTCTCAGATGAGGTATTGTAACTATTTACACTATTTACATTGTTTGGACTGTTGTCCTCATCTTTATTGCCATATTCACCTTCAACATCTGTCTCTATTTCTCAGATGAGGTATTGTAACTATTTACACTATTTACATTGTTTGGACTGTTGTCCTCATCTTTATTGCCATATTCACTTTCAACATCTGTCTCTATTTCTCAGATGAGGTATTGTAACTATTTACACTATTTACATTGTTTGGACTGTTGTCCTCATCTTTATTGTCATAGTCACCTTCAACATCTGTCTCTATTTCTCAGATGAGGTATTGTAACTATTTACACTATTTACATTGTCTGGACTGTTGTCCTCATCTTTATTGTCATATTCACCTTCAACATCTGTCTCTATTTCTCAGATGAGGTATTGTAACTATTTACACTATTTACATTATTTGGACTGTTGTCCTCATCTTTATTGCCATATTCACCTTCAACATCTGTCTCTATTTCTCAGATGAGGTATTGTAACTATTTACACTATTTACATTGTTTGGACTGTTGTCCTCATCTTTATTGCCATATTCACCTTCAACATCTGTCTGTATTTCTCAGATGAGGTATTGTAACTATTTACACTATTTACATTGTTTGGACTGTTGTCCTCATCTTTATTGCCATATTCACCTTCAACATCTGTCTCTATTTCTCAGATGAGGTATTGTAACTATTTACACTATTTACATTGTTTGGACTGTTGTCCTCATCTTTATTGCCATATTCACCTTCAACATCTGTCTGTATTTCTCAGATGAGGTATTGTAACTATTTACACTATTTACATTGTTTGGACTGTTGTCCTCATCTTTATTGCCATATTCACCTTCAACATCTGTCTCTATTTCTCAGATGAGGTATTGTAACTATTTACACTATTTACATTGTTTGGACTGTTGTCCTCATCTTTATTGCCATATTCACCTTCAACATCTGTCTCTATTTCTCAGATGAGGTATTGTAACTATTTACACTATTTACATTGTTTGGACTGTTGTCCTCATCTTTATTGTCATAGTCACCTTCAACATCTCTCTCTATTTCTCAGATGAGGTATTGTAACTATTTACACTATTTACATTGTCTGGACTGTTGTCC